AATAGTTCCTCAGATGTTCAAACAGATTTAATGAGAGAACAAAGCTGCTGAACGCGGGTCGACTTTAAACACATCTTGGAAAGTATTTAATACATGAATCTAAAATTTCATAGAAACCATTTTAAATGTCCAGAGTTTGTGCCTAACCCTGACCGAGTGTGAAGCAGATCCGAGCCGGTGCAGCAGAAGGTCCTGATGGTTTCACAGCAGATAATCAGAACATACGACCAAACCCAGCGCCTGAGCTCCTCTGAACCTTCTGTCAGAGTCCAGATGTGGTCCTTGTGCTCATGAATCCCTGACGTGTTTGATCCAAAGACATCCAGCGTCATGAAGCTGCAGAGCAGAACTCAGCCAGAATCATGACAAATCAGTCGGACTTTATTTTTACAGCACATTGCATACAAACAGAAACACAAAGAGCTGTGCAGAACAAAAGGCCCGGCCCGTCCGGGACCGGCCTGTTAGAGGTGAGAAACACTGAGCAGACGGATCAGTCAGAACCTCAGAACTACAAAGTCAGACAGTAAATACAAATATAAAACACATAAAATCGACTAAACTGTGTGAATAAATAGAGTAATAAATGAAAATAATAATAATTAGGAGTCCCACTGATAAGGCAGGTCTTTAAAAAATAAATGTCTGTAAACATTTCCTTCGTGTTTCTGCGTCGAGCTTCAACATGTGAATGTGAGCAGGCTGATGTTTCTGAGGAACGTTAAAGTCAAAGAGCAGCTTGGTCCTGATGGAGGTCTGCTGTCTACAGTCACGTCTTCATAAAACATTTCAAAACAGGAATAGATCAACACACGAATATGAATAAAAAAGAAAATCCAGCTGAAGAGTCGTCAGAGTCGAGCAGCGACTTCCTCCAGTGTGAGCAGAGCCGGATGTAGCTTCTGTGCTGATCTGTTTTCCAGGAGTTTCTCAGCCTGAAGCTTCACATGGAGAGAGACTGAAGATGATGGAGGCAGCTCGACCCAGAAGACGACCAAGTGTCTGCAGTTTGCTGCTGCTGATGGTGAGACAGACTTGAAGACGTGAGAATGAAGCCAGCGATGCAGAGCAGACCCGTGACTGGTGTGAATTCTGTGTTTCAGAGTTTGTTCCTTCCGGCTTCCACACTGCTGGAAGATGCCAAAGCTGAACAGCCGCCGTGTCCTCACGGAGACTATCGGACCGAGGAGGGAGTCTGCTGCAACAAATGTTCTCCAGGTAGGCGCTCCTGCAGAGAACAGCAGGAAGTGAAGCCTGGAAGTGAACCAGCTGAACCGTCCTGTGTTTGCAGGTTTTAAGCTGGTGGAGAAGTGCCACGCTACGGGCCAGAGGAGCAACTGCACCGCCTGCTCTGACGGAGAGTTCACTGACCAGATGAACTTCTTTCCAAACTGCAAACGGTGCCGACGCTGCCAATGTAAAACTACCCAACCAAACCCAGTAAGTCAGTCAGCTGCAACTTCAGGTGATCTGTGCTCACCTGTTCTCTCTGCTTCCTGCAGTGAGGAAGCACCAGGTGCAGGAGAAAGCATGTGAGCCCCACCAGGACACTATCTGCCGCTGCATGCCGGGTTTCTACAAGTTCAGGATCGACTCGGAGACGTCCGAGTGTCGCAGATGTTCAACGTGTGGCCCAGACGAGCCGGAGAAGCAGACGTGTAGGTCTGCAGACAATCACTGACTGTCCTGGCGTCTCAGCATTGGGTCTAACAGAAAGCTGCTGTGTTCACAGGTTCCCAGAACACCAACACCGTGTGTGGATGCAAAGGGAACTACTACAAGCACAGGGGAGTGTGTGAAGCCTGTAAGAAGTGAGTGTTCATCCTGCACCGCTTTGCCTAAACAGGGAAGTTGGTTTGTTGAATTGAAACTTGCAGCAAACTTCCGACTTTGTTCAATCTTTCCATGTGTTGGCAGCAGAACAGAGAAGTTATGACACACTGAAGTGGGTTTCTGCTGTTTCAACAGTCACTCATGTGTTAAATATACTGTCTGTGTGATTCACTGAACCTCTGGAACATCTGGACCACATTCGTCCTGAGGTCCAGCCGGGTCCGTCTGAAACTCACAAAACTAAACACTGTTNGGAGGTGGAGGAGGTCTAGGAGGAGGAGCTGAGATAATGCCGCTGTTCTTCTGTTTGCTCGTTGAAGGGGAAGGATGTGGTTTTTCTGAGGAAGTTCTTGTCGTGCTCTGCTGACTGAGCTCTATTATTCTCTGCACTATGTCGGTCACGTGAGGCCTTGGAGCTGAACTCCATGATTACAGCTCGTTAAGCCTCGTCGTGTTCACAGGAATGTTGCACAACTTTCACTCTGAGCAGAAACACTTCTCTCCTCCACAGTCTCCAACACCAGCGACCGACTTAAAGGTCCACAGGGTTCTAAAGGTTCTGACAAATGTACTGTTTGTGTTTCTGTTTGTCTGGATTACTGATGCATCAATAAGTATTAAATACATTCAGTGTCCAGATGTTCTCGTACGTCCATCATCTCCAGCTGATTGTCTCTGATCGTAGCTCCACTGCTGACTGCTATCAGCTTGCTCTCTGATAGGATGTCATTCAGGGATGTGCTGAAGTCCGGTTCTTGACCTGCAGGACGAGCTTCTTGTGGACATCAGCCTGATAAGAATGACTGTTGTCATCAAGTCCTGGGAAAAAAATCACATATAATAATGTTTTTCTTTTTTAAGATTATAATAATTTTATGGTCACACATTTTAAAAGAATAATACAGATTTTTATTGTCAGTGTTATTTACAGTTTTGTCCAGTTGTTTTGTTTGTTTGCTTATTTTTTTGTGTTTCTACAGTAATCATCGATATCTGACCAGCTGTCTGCTCTTTATAGACACATATTTAAAAGCAGCACATACCTGAGTTAGCCGAACCGTAGCTCTAAAAGAACAACATGACATTTTAAAAAAATACAGATTTTTTATGTGGGCATAATTTACAGTTTTGTTTTTTTATGGTCAACAGCTAAATTATATTTTTGTGATTGTAAACATCATTATCTGTAATTTAACCAAACAGGCAGAATCTGAGATGCAAAAGAAAAGCCAGGTCCAGGGACCCAGGTTGGATAGAGAATGACCCAAAACAAACTACAATAATAGAAATCTATTGTGTAACGAGTGTATCTCTGAGCTGCTGGTCTTCAGTCAGCAGAGTCGGTATAAATAGACGCTGTCCTGTCCAGGCCTGTCTCCACTCAGTCTGTCTGCTGGATTACGCAAAAACTGAAAACCAGAATTTCATCAGGCCTTCGTTGGCATGAGAACAACAGAAGCAGGCGGCAGACAGAGGTTCTCATCCCGTTTACATCTGGATCAACCGGTCTGTCTGTGGGACAGTCAGCTGAAGCTCTGTGGACAAAATGAGACACTTGAGGAAACTCGGGAACATGTTCTGATGTTTTATTGGACAAACAGCGGATCGTGCACACAATGACAACACTGGACCAGAGTCTGGGCTCCTCTCCAGCCTGTGTGTGAACATCGTGGTTTATTTGACCTGATTTACTGACAGATTTTATACATTTAAAAAAAGAAACGATCTTTTCTGCTGTTGCTTTATGAGCTCTAACATTTCAGATGAAGCC